TGTGCCTATAATCTACGAGGGTTGGGTGGAAAGACAGACCACTTCCTCTAATCATATGGTGTGCCTCTATAAACGTCATATCTCTATGGACAACAACCCACCGCAGGAAAAGAGAAATCAGAGCTCCAGGTGACAACTGGAAGGTGGGAGGACATTAACCTAGCAAAGAAATTCCATGGCAGATGGGGAAGCAAATGAATGTGGGAAGGCAAGAGAGATAAGTGGACTAGATGAACAGGGACAAAGGAAAATCTCTACTAAGGGGCAATATTTCTACCTTGTCTACTTCCTGCAGGAATCGGTACTTCAAGAATGAGGCACAACAGAAAAAAAGGAGGGGAAGGGATAAGACCTACAAGTCAACAATAACACAGAAATTGTTTAGAATGGGAAACTCAAAATAGGTACTCTAGAAGCTTTAATTTAATAGAGCCTAAAGAAGAAATAAATAATAAAGGTCACGAATCAAAGAATACAACTTTAGAATAGACAGAATGGGAAGATAATTGATACAGAGAACAAGGTAAAGAACTCCCTTCTTTTAAAAAAAGACTCAGAAAATGAAAAAAAGACACTAACAAAAGAAGCTGAAGAAGAGATAAAGAAAAGTTTTAATTAGCTGCTTAGGAAGGGGGGGTGAAGAGACGGGAATAAGATAATTAAATAAAAGGAATCAACGAGCAAAACTCCAAAACTTTGGAAAACAGTGACAAATGAGGGGGAGAAGAGTGAAGGTTTGAGAGTGAGGGAAAGAGAGCCTGTGGGAACAGGGTTGCCTTAAGGTATATCAAGCAAAACAATTGCAAGGACAATGTATATAGTCTTAGAAGGGGAAGAGGAAAAAAAAGTACTTTTTAAAAAAAGAACCCATGTCTATTTGAACACAATGCTATGTGTGTTTTATGACATGAACTACTAGTGTAAGCAAAAGTTTACAGACTTTTAGACTACTTATTGAATGACTTGCAAAAGTTAGTTAAAACGAACACTTTCTACAAACTGCCTTTTAAACATAGTCTTAAAAGATGTTAGTTAACAAAATTCAATAGGTGTGAATAAACTCAACTCTTAGGTCTAAACAGCCAAGGGGAAAACTACAAATCAGAGGGGAAATAAAACCGTTTTTAATGTCAATAAATTGTCCATTATGTCACCAATTTGAACAATTAGGCAGCCTCGTGTTCTTTTTATCTTAACAGTCATCCTTCCCCACTACCCTACCTCCCTTGAAGTTAACCTGCTGAAAGGATTTCACTTCTTAGCTCTGTACCTGCTGGCTACAGAATTCTAAAGCCCAAAGTCAATTGTGAAAGGCTCTGCAAACTGAGTTCAAAGATCCTGCTATTATAAAACCTCGTAACAAGTAGTCAAATAGAGCCCATAAAGGGAACAAGAACTCCAAGTCACCTTTGCATGTTCTCCCCTCTCACTCTTACATGACCTAGCCAAGGCTTGCCACCCTCCTCCAAGCCCCCTGCCCCTGCACAGGCTGTCCTGTCCCCCCAGCTCCGGAATGTACTTTTTCTCCTCCACTCTTGGAAACCTGTTTCCTTCCAGGTTTAGCTTAGAGGCCACCTCCTCCTGGAAGCCTTTCCTGACCCCCTTCCTAGGCGTTAGGACCCTTTCCCTCCTCAACTTAGCATGTAGTTTATTTATCTGTTTACATGTTGTACCCAAGATAATAATGGGGACTATTCTAAATTTTTGTCTATGTGTAAAATTAAAACAAAATAAATCCACACATCTAAGATTCACCATTGGAGAATGCGAAAGAAGGGGCCTAAACACAAAAGGGGATAAACAGTTAAATGGTATTCCTTGGCCTAGTCAATAAATGGTCTACTCTCAAGAATTTTTGTTTTCAAAGTATCAACATGGCGAAACCTCAAACACCAAAAACTCAAGGTACTAAAACCCCTTAGAATGCCTGTTGCTCACATTTTCATTAAGTGAGGGGCAGTCTACCCTTTTCCTTGTCTTCCTGCCCTGAATTTATTTTCTCCTTAATATTAGCATGTTAGAAAAGCATGAATTCACATTAGGTACATCTACCTTTAAAATTTTATTACCATTATGTACCCTTTAATCAACACCGATATTGCCTTAACTATTCATTTTTTTCTTCTTTAAAAAAAAATATGGCCCTAAAAAGGGAGTGGGAAGGAGAATGAATTTGCCAGGAGATTTAAAAAAAAAGTCTTCTGGCTGCTCATACACACGGCCAACAGGAAGACATAGTTGCCCCTCCCCTTCTACACAACCCCTCCACTGCCTTCTGGCCACTTAAATTTGCTTCTACCCTTGACATCCTCTGCTCTAAGCAGAGGGCCTGCTTGGAGTTTCCCAGGTCACATCTCACCTCCTGAGTCCACATGCCTTTTCCAAGGCTATCTCTTATCCCCAGAGCCCTTTCCCTCTTTGAACCCCTAAAGAGGCCTAGTTTCCCTCAACCATCACTGAATATTTTGTGTAGGTATAATATTCTTCTTGTCTTTATGTATCTGTAAACATTTCCCCAGCACAACAAAAGCTACAGGAGAGCAAGGGGTCGTCAATTTTGTATTTGTCTCCTCAGGCATACCTTGGGCAGTCTTAGCAGTTAACAGGAAGAGGGATAAGGACTGCACCCTGGTTTCACTGGTATGGGGAACTCCCAGGTCAAAAAACTGTCTCTCCTAAAGCAGATCAGTACTTTCTCTGTAGCTTATAGCCTTAAAAAGAGTTGTCGAGAGCATTAAGAGTTTAAGTGACCAGTAAAAGATCACACAGTCAGGATGTTTAAAAGGCAAGACTTACACCCAGGCCTTCCTGGTTTCAAGGCCAGCTCACTATCCATTCACTACACCAGAAGTGGGGAACCTTGGGCCTCAAGGCCACATGTGGCCCTCCCAGGTCCTCAGGTGTGACCCTGTGACTGAATACAAACTGTGAAAAACAAAACCCCTAAATAAAATAAAAGGATTTGTTTTGTAAAACCTGGACTCAGTCAAAAGGCTGCACCCAAGGACCTGGAAGGCCACATGTAGCCTTGAGGCCCAACTCCTGTACTGCACCATGCTGTCTCTCAAGTAAATGTTTGTTCATCCATTGACTAATAGTAATAGATAACATTTATTTTTAAGTTTTCTCGTATGGGAAACCATATGATCTGCTTTCATAATACAAACTAGTTTTGGCTTTGGTACGCCTACTGTTCCTTTCTCCCTTCCTTGTCACCTGGCACGTAGTAGGTACTTAATAAATACTTGTTGACTCATTTTGCTTCTTTCCTTCTCAATTCTCCAAAGCTTTGGTGGTTATGAAATCTTCAGTTGTCACAAGAAAGGTAGTCTGACAGGGTGAATCAGGAGGGGGCCTAGAAGTCAGGAAAACCTGAGTTTAAGGCCCGTGTCTGTATGACCCTGGGCAAGTCACTCAACTTTACAGCGTTCTAGACCACTATCTTAAGACAGGGCTTCTTAACCTTTTTTGTCATGCACTCCTTTGGCAGTCTGGTGAAGCCTGTGATCTCCCCAGAATAATGTTTTTAAACGCTTAATAACAATTATGTAGGACTGCAAAAGAAACCAATTATTCTGGAATCATTATCAAAATTGAAAAAGAAAAGAAGAAAGAAAGGAAGGAAGAAAAAGAAAGAAAGGAAGGAAAGAAGGAAGGAAGTTCAGAGGCACTGGGTTGAGAACCCCCTGAGGCTACCTGCCAACCTGCAGGGGTAGAGGCAGTTTCCTGAACAAAGACGTTACAGGCTCAGGCTGCACTCCCGCCCTTGTTGTCAAACCAAAGTTCTACCTGCAAGGCTTTGTCTCCTCTGCCTTCCCTACCCCACTTCAAAATAAAAAAAAGAGGTGTCCTACAGGTCCAAGGACACTGTAAGCATTCATTCACAGGGTACACAAAGCCATTCATTGACAAAGAAATGGTCCTGGTGAAGTAGTATCATCTCCCAAATGTGCCGGTGGGATGGTTTTGATCGTTTTAAGCAGCTAACAACAGTATAGAGGTGGGGAGACGTGCCAGGCAAGTCAGTCAACAAGCATCCATTTAAAAGCCTGTGCCGAGCGCCGAGCACACAAAGAAAAGCCCTCCTCCTCCCCCTAAAAAAATAGTCCCTGCTCTCAAGGAAGTCAAGGTGCGACGGGAGAGACAATGTGCCAACAGCCAGGCAGACGTAACACAGAGCGGCACAGGCTGGAGATCTTGTCCGAGGGAAGGACCAGCACTCCCGTGCTGCCACCCAAGGCCACGAGCATCGATCAGGGCCTAGGTTTGCAGACGCTCTCCTCGGCGCCCGACACAAAGGAAGGCAAAGACAGTCGGCGACGGGGAGCCAGCCCTGAAACGTTACGTCCGTGCGCCCAAGACGGCCCGGGCAAGTGGGGATCACCCCGGAGGAAGGCACCAGCCTGCCAGGCTCCCGCCAGGGCGAGCAGCACTGGCGCAGCTCGCGGCTGGTGCTGGGCTCCGGGGGCACAAAGAAACCGGGCACTGCGGCTAACGGGGCAGGACGCACGCACGTTCCCGTTAAAGTCAGCATCTATTAGGCGCCTGCGGTGCCACGGGCACAAAGTCTGCCGAGGGCGGCGTAAGGGGGGAGAGCCCAGGCAGCGTGCCCGGGTCCCTTTAAAGTCAGCACGCCCCGAGCCCGAGCTGAGCGCCGGGGATGCAGACAAAGGCAGGGACCCCCCCCCAACCCTGCTCTTGCGGGGGGGGGGTCCCCGCACACACACACACGCCGGCCGTGCCCACGGAGGGGCGGCCCTGACCCCGGGCCACATGGACAAAGGCAGGAGGGCCCCTGCCCTCGGGGCGCAAACACCTGCCCCGACCGCTGGGGGGCCCCGAGGCTGCAGACTTTGGGGGGCCCGGGCTTCAGCACCGAGGGCGGGCATGCGGGGGGGTCTAGGCCCGGGCAGGACCGGACCCGGCTGAGGGTCCCCGGGCGCCTCCCTCCCTCGGGCCTCCCGCAGTTCGGGGGTGGGGGCGTGACGGGGGGGGCTCACCTTCCTCTCCTCCGTCTCCTCCTCCTCCTCCTCCTCCTCCCCGGCAGAGCAGTAGGCTTCACGCTGGCGACGGGGGGCATCCGGGGCTCCGCTACCGCCTCATCCTGCCCGGCGCGCGGGGGCCAACGGTCCGTGCCCGTCACCGCCTCAGGCCCATGGCGCCCCCCGGCCCAAGGCCGCCGCTGCCGCTCCTCCTGCCGGGCTGGGCAGGGGGCTCCCTCTCGCCATAGGGCGCCGGGGGGAGGGGAAGCGCCTGGGCGGGGGGAGGAGGGGGGAGGGGACAGGGACGAGCAGCCGAGGCGAGAGCGAAGCGCCGGCGTCCGTCCGTCCGTCCGCCGGGCCAGAGGAAGAGGGAGGGGAAGGAGGGAGGGGGGCAGAGCGCGGCTCCGCGAGCACCGCCCCGCCCCCGCGCAGGGATCCGCTCCCGCCGCCCGCTGCCCGCCGGCCCCCGGCTCCCGCTCCGGCCCCCAGCCCCCACCACCCCGAATGTTTGATGGCGTCTCCAGGAAGGGGCGAGGATGGGCCAGCTGGCGCGAGCCAGCGGGGGAAGCCTCGGGATTCTTTTACTTTTGTCCTTGAGGCGGAAGGATTTGCGCGGCGTGGACGGTGATGAGTCAATGACGCAAGCCCTTCCTCCCCCACCCCTCGTTTCCCGAGGCTAGAGGGAAGGGCGCATGCGCTTTTGGGCAAAGAAAGAGGTCTGGTTGTCGGGTGCAGACCGAGGCGCGAGTGAGCTTGGAGCTTTGCCCGGAGCTTGTGGCTAGCCCGGCTGCCCGCAGGGGCTTCTATGATTTTGCAGAAAGACTGCGTTTTCCGCCTCTCCTGGGGTGGTGGGATAGAGTAATGCTGGCTAGCCTTTGTGTATTGCTTGAGAGTTGACATAGCACTTTGCAAATCATATCTCGTGTTATCCTAATAACCCTGGGCAGAGGTATTATCCCCACTTTATAGATGAGGCAACTGAGGCCGACAGAAGTTAAATGACTTGCCCAGGGTTATAAAGCTCTTATAAGCTTTTACTAATCACCCAGTCTGGGGATGCTAAGCCTCTGGCCACGAGCAGCTTATGAGCTCTAGGAAGAGACACCTAAAAGTCTATGCATGTAACAAGGAAGGCCCAGGTAGGGTAGAGACCCTAAATGGTCCCTTAGATCAGGACTCACCAACCTGGGGCAACCGGGGAGGATGAGGAAATCGACCTCTTTTGGTTTTTCCCTCCAACTCAGGTTCTTTACCCCCCTGCCCCCCAACTCTTGATTTCTAAGAAGTCAATCAGCAAGCATTTATTAAGCACCTACTGTGTGCCAGGAACTGTGCTAAGCACTTGGGATACAGACAAGCAAAAGACAGTCCCTGCCCTCAAGGAGCTCACAGTTTAATGGAGGAGAAAACATGAAGACAACTGCTTTTGTACATATAAATATACATATATGATAAATTAGGGGTGATCTCAGAGGAAAGGAAAGGACCCGAAAAGTGACAATCACTTAAAATTTATGTTCAGCTCTTCTGTAGTGTAGTCCCAAAAGAAGGAATTGAAAGGTGCTCAGTGCTGGATGGAGCCCTGCTTAAGAGTACTGGACCTAAAATTAGAAAGATCTGAAATCAGATCCTGCCTTGACCCTTGAGATCCGAGAAACTGCCTCACTCTCTCCCAGCCTCAGTTTTCTCATCTGTGAATTTAATGGGGATAATAATAGCTCCTACTGCCCAGAGTTGTCTTGAGGGTTTTTGTAAATCAATTCAAATACACTACATAAATGCTGACTATTAGTAGTAGTATTGGACAACGATTTTCTGCACAGAAAAGAGATGCTTAAAACAAAAGATTCTGGCCAAGCAAAACAACAGCAATAAAGCATCTTGTCCAGAAGCAAGGAAAAGATGATTGAGGTGGAAAGCCAGAGGTTTTCCCCAAACCTCAATGGGGTATCTGTCCAAAGCTGGATTTCTATGACTAGAACCCCCGGATGACATTTGAATTTTTCTTAAGGCAGATGTGGCAATTTTTTTTTTTATCTTTTTGAAGTTGAGATTCACTGAAATCCCATCTGTATCCACAGTACAGTTAAGCATTAATCCTTGTTCTGATTGTCTAAATATAAAATATTGGGATTTTTTTGATGTTCCATTTATTGTTTGATATGAAGTCAATTTTACCTCTTTCTGCCTCGAACATGGGGACACTGCATGATTTTGTAAGTTTTAATCTCACAACAGACAAAAATCTTGAGAAAATGAAAGAAAAATGTTAATATTTTTGTGTTGACAAAGAATTAAGGTGTTATTGCAAGTACCTACATGGATGCAGTTTGTAGGTGACATGGATAGATATGATTTGATCTTTGGTTTGACTCTGTTGAAAGGAAGAGAGCATCCTTTCCTCTGGTCTCCAAAAGGGATATTGGGCTAAAATTATATCTGTTTACCTCCCTCAAATATTGGAAGTCTAAAGGATTCAGAACAAAAGCTACCTCTCTGATTACTCTTAAAAGGGAGGGGAGCCCTTAGCTTATGCTCACTGGCCCAACTTCTTCCCACCAAACACTGGTTACACAAAAGACCATCCCAAATAGTGAATATCAAGTAAACCCATTTATCCAAGCAAGACTGCAAATAGAAATAGAAAGATTAGAATATTCCAAAGGACACACAAGAGTGAATGCACTCTTTAGCTGGGAGCAAGAAAAGATCTCAGCTCAAACCAGAAAAGATAACAATGTCATGGGCCTCTAGAATTTCAGCAAGTCCGTGAACATGATTGGGGCGGCTTCCTTTGCATGTCCATCATTTTAAGATTTCTCTCTTCGCACCCTCCCTAGGTGTCCTCTGTTCAAGTATTCCTCTCAAAAATCTCTGGAATCAACTTGGACCTTTATGCTGTCATGCTTATTATAATTCTCTCCACCAACCACAAGTCCATTCCTCCACCACCAAACAATAAATAAGAAATGGTTCTACTCCTGCACATCTGATTGTTCCATTGGAGCCTTCTCTGTTATAGTTGGGCCCCCCAATTGTGAGTATCTCACAAGGCTCTGTCCTAGGCCCTCTACTCTTCTTTCTCTATACTCTCCCTCTTGGTGACCTCACTAATTCCCATAATATTAATGATCACCTCTATGCTGTTAATTCCCAGATCAATATAGACAACCCACGTCTCTATCCTGAGCTTCACTTCCGCATCACTGATTGCCTATTATTTCAAACTAGATGTCACTGAGACAGCTCAAATTCAACATGTCTTAGAACCGAACCATTTCTCTTTTCTCTCAAACCCTCCCTTGTTCCAAGCTTCCCTATTTCTGTGGGAGGTACCACTACCTTTCTAGTCTCCCAAGTTCATAACCATAGCGTTATCCTGGGTTCCTCACTGTCCTTCACCCCAGATATCCAATCAGTTGTCAAATCCTGCCATTTCTATCTTAATAACATCTCTCACATCTGACCCATTTTCTCTACTTACACAGTAACCACCTTAGTCCAAGCCTCACAACCTCTCAACTAGATTATTGCAACAAGCTCCCTATTTGTCTTCCTGCCTGAAGACCCTCACCACATCAGTCCACTTTACACCCTCCCACCAAAATGATTTTTCCTTATGCATAAATCTGATCACTCCCCTAGTCAGTATAAACTCTAAAATCAAATAGAAACTCTTCTATTTAGCTTTTAAAGTCCTTCAGAACCCAGGCTCAAACTATCTTTCCAGTAAGTCAGATAGGTATGACCTGGAGGCTCTATTGCCTCTAAGAGGAGATATGAAATGCTTTGCTTAGAATTCAAAGCCCTTCATTTGCTGTTTTTGGAGGCAATAGGAGTTAAGTGATTTGCCTACTGTCAGCTAGTAAGTATCTATGGCCAAATTTCAACTCAGGTCCTCCTGTCTCCAGGGCCAGTGCTCTATCCACCATGCCACCTAGCTGCCACTCAGAGCTCTTCCTAACCGACCCCGCTCCTACCTTTCTAGTCTTCTTACTCATTACTTCCTGGCACATATTTTTTGATCCAGTGACACTGACCTCCTGGCTGTTCCAGCAAGATACTCTACCTCTTGGCATTTTCTGTAGCTGTTCCCCCATACCTGGAATTCTCTCCCTCTTCCACTCCCAATATGGACCTCCCTAGCTTCCTTTAAGTCCCAAATAAAATCCCACCTCCTACAGGAAGGCTTCCCCAGCCCCTCTTAATTCCATTGCCTCCCTCTGTTAATTATTTCCTACTTATCCTGTATGTGGCTTGTTTTGTACGTATTTGTTTGCATGTTGTCTCTCCCATTCAATTGTAAGCTCCTTGAGGTCAGAGACCATCTTTTGCCTTTTTTTTTATCCCCAGTTCTTAGCATAGTGCCTGGCACATAGTAGATGCTTAATAAATCTTTCTTAAATTGAATTGAAGATAAAGCTCATGCCCTAGCTTTTACATGAACCCTTTCCTGATTTCCCCAACCACAAGCACCCTCCATCTCAAACAACTTGTACCTACCTACTTTCTAGTCATTTCTCTTTATTCTCCTAACATTTGTTCTGTACATACTTTATATAACTGGGCTTCCAACTGAGCCTGGGACATTTGGGGTGCTTATGGTACTCAGGAAATTTGACTCTAATTGGGTTGAGAGATGCTTCCCACGGGGCAGAGGTGGGGTCAGAACTTTGGGGAGAGACATGAGGGGGATGCTGTAAACATGTAGTGGAAGCTGGCTCTTCAATGGGTCCTTGATTTCCAGCCTGTGTCTCTAGAGACTTCAAAAATATTCCCTTGGGTAACTCTGGGACCTCTCTTTGTTTGAGTGGAAATTTCATTTCATTTCCAGCAAAAAAATCTCACTTATTCTTGCATATCTTATATAATTAATTAATTTAATTAATCTGTAAAACTTCCCTGATTTCTTTTTGCTTGAATAAACAGATTTACTTGCTACTCACTATTGTGATGGCCTTTGGTATAACCAGGGCTCAGTCAAAAATTGAGCTGGTGGGTATAAGATCAATGCTTCCAACCCAATACCCCTCTTGGAAATAGATGAGAGAAAGAGCAAGCTCCTTTCCAAGGTAGAAATTGTAGTCTTCTTTGGAGAGAGAT